TGTGTGTGTGTGTGTGTGTGTGTGTGTGTGTGTGTGTGTGTGTGTGTGTGTGTGTGTGTGTGTGTATATATGTACATTACGTTTAGCGGAATCTGTAACGATAAATTACATTATTGATAGTCACAAACTAGAAATTAGTATATAGTCAGTAGCACAAGAGAAATTTATAATTCCGTTAATATTTGTCGTACGAATAAAACTTTTGAATGTTAATGTTGGCAATACATTAAGCAAAAATGCTTTGAAAGTTAGATTTCAGTTCGGTTTAATTATTACGTTACAATCGGATGTAAAATAAATACAGTCGTTTTGGAGCAGTATTTGAGTGATCACTCAAAAAAACTAAAATTGTCGTATGCAGTTGTTGCCCATTACATGAAAAAGTCTTAGCAGTTCATCGCGAAGTTGGTGAAACGTTGCAAACGGAAAAATATCAATGACCTGCCTGAAAGAGGTCGACAATGTTCATCAGAAAAAAACGATAAAGTAATCGCTATTACGTGCCGCGACACATTTGCCACAACACGTTTCTAACATAAAGTTTTCTATTGTTAATTTATTTCCGAGAAATTTCACTTTGTTTAGATAGTCTTGATATAAAACTTAATTCTACCATTTATTTTATCCAATTTCACTATTCGTTTATGATCTCTTTTCTATTTAAGACTTTTCACTTGCGAGTCCTACAAACATTTTAAGGATCACACCCTTCTTCTTCTTCTTCTTTCCCTTCTAGGCCATATAGCTTTACATGGGCAAGTTATAGGCCTTAAAAAAATTTTTGGAGATCGAAAGTCCTATGAGTATCACCCGCAGGAAGAACACAGAAGTCTCACTTCTTTTTCACAATGTGGATCATACTTCTTGATCATATTCAAACAGATCCTTGAGTCATATGTACATATAGCTACAGCTGGGTACATTTCAAATATACATATGTTGGTACACGTCCGATCACTGGGATCGGATTACCTTAATGAACATTAGTAAATATTTCCGAGCGATAGTAATTTGCTAATTGCAATACGTTATTCCAAAATAATATGAATAGACAATTTTGCAGAATTATCGCATTCATTATTTATCAATCATATCGTTTATACAATAAATCGATATTTAAAAGAAATCAAAGGATATGAGTTAGCAGATTCGTGTTGATTCATGTATGACAAGCATAACACGCGTCAAAGCTCGCAATCCTCATATATATGAAAGCCTATTATAGTATTTCAATTGGAAAATTAATTAGATTAATTACTCGACCCTTTATTGACCTTTATAATTTTTAATTTATCATTTATCATTCTAACTTCACAATTTTTCAAAATGGGACTTAAATATATTTCGATAATCATAAAATCCTAGAAACAAAAATTACAAAGAATCTCCAACAAATAGAAATAAACTAAAAATAGTTAAAAATTATCTTCGAATTACCACGATAAATTGTTAACAAATCATAATTTGCGAATAACAAATTACAAATTGTGAACAGTTCAACATTAGATTTGCATCAAGAAATACGCAATAGATTTCGTGGATAGTTCCATTCAAATCTAAACGTAACAAATTCTATGATAAAAGACTCGCACACATTCGCCGATTGATAAGCGCTTCAAACAAATTTAATGATCAAATAAAAGATTTAATGTGTGCACAAAAATTTGAATGCATGTATACGACAAAGGATTCTATTCTAAGCGTGCAAACATTGTGAAATGTAAAATCACGAAATGTAATGCCACGAAATAATCATTTATAATACCATTTATGATGCGATGATAAATATATATTTTATATCTTTCTATATCTGTCTTTACCCATTTTTTAAATAAATGATAAAAAACTTATTATAATAATATTATATATTACATAATAAAATATAATAGAAAATATAAATAGAAATGGAAGTAAAATGTTTTAATAACTTCGTAAATAATATTTAAAAATATAGGCTAAAACTATATCTACCATAGTTTCAACAATTCATTTCGAAAGAAACATTGGCTGCAACTAATTAAAAATATTATGCCATATTCAGCCAATCTTTTCTTTTAGTGTAGGAAGAATATCAATAAAAAACGTTTTCCTTCAGTCACACATATCAGAACACAACGATCTTCCCAGGAGAGC